TGAGGGGAATAACAGGGAAGGTTAATTCCAAACCCATATACATTCCAAAATGTGCTAGATTATGAGTTAGCCAAAAAAGGGATTAATTTAATTTTACTCATGTTTTTACGGACATTTCTGGGAATGAAGAGAGAAGAGCATAATAATGCCATATCTACCTCACTTCTAGCACTTTCTCTTTGTTACTCACTTTGGTGTTTGCACGAGTACAGTGTGTGTGCAAGTGTGTGTGGGCTTGCAAATGTGTACAATAGTTGGTAGGTTTGCTATTCTATTTTTGGTATTCCTGCACTACCTTATGAATTAATAGGAGAGTTGTAGGATCAGGCCTCGGACTGTCACCTTGATCTTCCTTACTTAGTGCTCTGGATTCAAGCCGAGTAACTTACCAAATGTGTCTGTGTCAGCACTACTTGTGGCATTCATTTTCTCAAAAGGCAAACAACCTTTTGTTTCTGGTCGAAATTAAAGATGTATTTGTGTTTGTATTTATGACAGCTCTCGTTTCTTTTTTTTTTAATTTTACATTCAAGGGGTACACATATTTGTCTCAGGTGACCTGTTCCTCAGATAGTGAACATTGCACCCTGCAGGTAGTTTCTGAACCCTATTCGCCCTCCCCTCCCTTATTTCTCCTTTTTCACCAAATGCAGCACCGTCCTTCCCTTTAATCCCATGAGGTGGTTTTGGGGGGTGATGCATACATTGGAGCTCATGGAATCTTCTGCTTTGCTGAAGGCCTACGAGCCATCAGATGAACCAACAGATCTAACCAGTCTATTCCATTAGTTTAGTTTCAAGTTGACTCCTCCTGCCTCGTTGATTAAAATTGCGCATTCCATTCCTGCAACCCTTTTTGTGTGTTTGGCTGACATCTCCTGCTAGATCACATGCAGTTTGGGGGCAGGGAGAGTGTCCTGCTCCTGTCTGCATCTGCACATAGCATCTAGGGTTTGAGGAAGACTTGTTTCGTTGAAGTGACTTGCATGATTAAAATGGAAAGCACAGTGACGGGTGATTTATTCCACACCAGGGCTTTCCTTGCTCACAGGAGGCATATTACAATGACCCGAAGGCTCTTCAGAATCCTCAAGTGCTCACTGAGTTATCCAAGAAAGATGAACTTGTACTTAGCAGAGTGTTTGTGGTTAGTGCCTGTTACTGGATTCTGATACTTTGGAAACAAGTTAATCCACGGGGACGTGTGGTTTCTTTGTGGTTCTGAATCTTTGGTTAACCTGAATGTCTAGATCTTATGCTGTAACCATGACAGAGAGGATTAAAATTCCTTCCATAAAAAGAATACACTCATTTTGCTTCTACTGTATGTTTATGTTCAAGTCATGTTTTGTAAAGTCTATACCCTTGTGCTTCCCTAACTGTTTGACTTCTCTGCGGCCGCCTCTTGGTCCCAGCATTTCCCTTTCAGGAGACTGACATTCTTTCCCCACAGGCCTTAGAATCATTGAGGTGCTGGGTGGCCAAATACCTTGCCCAAACGCATATGTGCATTTTGTGTAGGTTTTACCTCTGGGCCTTGGAGTTGAGATCTTCCAAATAAACTAATGGGCACATGTTTTCTTAAATTGCATGTTTTAGATTTTATATCTAAAAATGAATTATCTGGGCTGGGTGTGGTGACTTACGCCTGTAACCCTTACCAACATTTTGGAGGCTGAGCTGGGAGGATCGCCTGAGACCAGGAGTTCGAGACCAGCCTGGACAATATAGTAAGACTTTGTCTCCACAAAAGACAAAATTTAGCTGGGTGTGGTGGCATGTGCCTGTAGTCACAGCTACTCAAGAGGCTGACGTGGAAGGATTGTCTGAGCCCAGGAGGTTGAGGCTGCGATGAGCCATGATTGTGCTACTGCATTCCAGTCTGGGCAACAAAGGGAGACCCCAACTCGGAAAAAAAAAAAGAAAGAAAGAACTATCTGGCCAATGTATTTAAATTCCTTCTCTGTATATTGTCAACTGAGATTTTTTTGAGGGTGAGGAATTATAAGGAAATTTGTATATAGCATAAACTGGAAACAATTTATATACACCAAAGAAAAGAATAACTAATGGTGCTAGGTGTTCACGGTAAATATGGGGGAATAAGTAATGCGGACAGTTGGTGAAGGCTACGAATTGGTGATCAGAAAAGAGAGCTGATGTGGAAAGAACTGGAAGCTGAAGGATGGAGAGGATTTGGGTGGACGAAGGGAGAGCATTTGAGGCAGGGCAGACACAGATTTTTGTTGACCTGGCTGGTTAATAATGACTTCCCCGGGTTTTCTTCCTAAGCAAGGAAACAAATATTTCCAGAAACCCTACCGGGACCGTACGTAGAGGCCTTTTGACATCTGAGTCTGTGCTATGCTCCTGCCTTTCACTTCTCTGCAATCTCAGAGCTCACTGGGCTGGATGGGGGTGAGATGGAGGTGGCAGTGGGGAAGGCTGCACCAGGCTCCCTCTCCCTGCTCCGTGGTTCTGGGGCCAGCTGAGCAGAATGAGGGCACCTCTGGGTTTCACAGGGACAGAGGGCACAGCTGGCTTCCTGACCAGCTTTCAGAGCCTGCCTGCCTGTCAGGCTTTTCCATCGCCTTGTCGTGTCTTCTTCCTGCCCTCTCAAACCTCCGTCCACAATGGCACCCCTTCTTGAACTGCAGGGTTCGACAACAGGGCTTGGATTTTGGAGAAATCTAAGAGGTAGAATTAGGTAAGTGATTATATAACTGATTCTGGTCATGGGGGATGTTATAGGCTTCCTCAAAGAAAAAAAAAAAAGGGAAAAAAAGAATGGGGGTGGAAAACCAGCCATTGATTATGGGAAACTGAGGGTTCTCCTAGACATTTCAGACTTGCCTTATATGGGTTTCCTCTAACCCTTCTGGCACTTTCCAGAAGTACCTTCCAGGTTTGGCTTTGTTTTGCCCTCTGCCCTCTGAGGGTTAGGATAATAAATAGTGCATGTCAGTCTCCGCTTTTTGGGCCACCTCCCAGGAAGGCCGATGACCAGGGGATGGGAGGCAGGAGCGTTCAGGGGGATACAGGAGCTTGGTTATCACACTCCCATGTTGGTGAGCACGTCCCTCATGTCTGACCCTCAATACAGCTTACCAAAGCCCCAGTGCGAGAATGGGTTTGCACGGGGTCACCTCATTGTGCAGCAACTGGACCCTGGCTTGTGGGACTTCAGTCCTCGGTTGAGTAGTTACTCAGGCCGAGGTGCCCTCAGGCATTTGAAAAATAAGTGAAATTTCAAACAAATTATTTTCCACTTAGCCTTGTTCTTTTAACTTTATAAGGGTTGTTTGGGTGACTTGTACTTGGATAAAAAAAAAAATAGTTAAAAAGTCTCTTTAAGCCAAAAGACAACGTAGATCTCACTGGACTCATTTTTCAAAATGTGAAATTGCTGAATTGTTTTCTTTTGGTAATTGAAGCCAGAATTCAGTGTTTTCTCTCATTTCCTCTTAGATTCCTTGCTCTTTAGATAATATTTTGCTGGTTTTGCGAGGGAAGTGAGCATTAGGCCTTCTGGGCCTCTTCTGCCCCATCCTGAGCTCTGGCCACCCAGTTCTGACTGCTCCCCACGGGTCGGGCCTTGAAGTTGCTGGAAGCCTCACACCCTGGGATGATGGGGCACCCAAGGGCAAGGTCAGGGTCTCGGTCCAGCCAGAGCACACCCGACCCAGTGTGTCCTGTTAATGATTCCACTCTGACATCTCATCATGCCTTTTCTACCGGTTCCAACTTTGCATGGCTTCTGTCTTGAAGAAAGAAGAAGGGTAAGTCTTTCTTCTTCTGCCTCCCTGTCATTTTAAGCTATCACCCTAACTGATATACCTGGAGGCAAAGGGAACAGAGCGCGTGTGCTTTGGGATCAGATGGCCTTGGTTGAAATCCCGGCTTTGGTAAACTATGATCTGGGCGTTCTGGGGCAAATGAACGTTTTCTGAGCTTTAATTTTGTTGTTTATAAAAATTTTTTGTTACTTATACAATGGGAATGGTACCGATCTCATAGGGTTATAATGTTAAATGCCTATCTCCCTTTCTTTACCCTGGCTTGGGAATCAGACTGTCCTCTTGGGGATTTTATTCTTATTTCACGATCAGAGTCTAAACTTTCTGCAGATGTAGCTTCAAATACAAGACTCCTTTTTAAATGCCTAGTCTTAAGAGTGGCTGAGATGGGTATGTGCTGGCTTTGGACTGAGGATGAGCTTCTGTGGCTTCCAGGAGGAAGCTGGAAGCCAGAGAGGGCTTCTTTTCTGGGGCAGCCTCTGCAGTTCTGGAAACTGAGGTATAGAGAGGCTGAGTAACTTGTGGAAGGTCACACAGCCAGCAAGTGGTATAATCGGGATATGAACAGGGCTGCTGAGGTGTCAGCATTTGTAATAATTCCCCTTCCTATGGCATAGCTGGGAGGGGAACACAGCCCCTGGGGCTTGGAGAACACGCCCAAGGTGGCCTCCTGTAATCTGCATGTGAGGTGATGCACAGTTGTAGCACAGCCTGCTACCCGTGGTCCGCAGCAACAGAACAGGCCTGTAGGGACATGGGTAGCTTAGATCACAAGAATGCACTTGTTACTCCGCAAGTAGCTGGGGTGAATGACTGCATCTCATTTCAAGGCGCGCTCTGGAATTCCGGTTTCCAGTCATTTGCGTTCCAGGCCCTCTCCAGGATGAAAAGACGGATGTGCCGGAAGAGACCGATAGCTAAGATGCCGGGGGGTCCAGGGGCCGCTGGGGTTTTGCCTCCCACGTCCTTGCTGACTTGGTGGCACAGCCGACACAGTGTCAGATGCTCTGCTAAACGTCAGCCAAGACGCTGTGTTGATTTCTACATGATCAAGGCAAACTCCTACCTATGCGTGTCAGGATTCTCACACCGGGTCGGCCCTGGGACCCCTGAGCTCGCGTTTACCCCGAGAGATGACCTCAAAGCCTAGGGGTGTTCTTCTCCAAGCGCCATTCCAGCTCAGCCAGAGAGACTCACAAGTTTATGGTGCTGTCTGCTCTTTTCTTCCTAGGCAGCCGGGATTGCTTACCACCTGCAATTCGGAGGCGGCGGCTGGCACGGAGGCCAGGCTACATGAGAAGCTCAACAGGGCCCAGGATCGGGTTCCTCTCCACAGCAGTGGCCACGCCATTCCGGGTCCCGGGAGGGGTGTGCGGTGAGGAGCCCCACCATTCTGAGTCCAGGGCTGGCCGGTGTGGTCTTGACCCGGGAGGCCAGCCTCCGGGCCTCTTGGTCGGGAGCCCTGGTCCCAAGAGCACAACAGCCTCTGCTGGGACCTCGGGGGGACGCTGGGGCCTGGCTCTGACATCCGTGAGAGGGACGTCGGCCCACGTCGGGATTCAGCTCCCAGCGGGCACCACACTGCCCGACAGGCTAGCCAGGCCCTGGGGCCCTGGGAACGCTGGGCGTCTGCAAGAATGTTCATCCATGGACGGTCCTGAGGGCCCGAGGGCCAGCTGGGATGCAGCCTTTGGGGACGGGGCAAGGAGTGTCAGGGCCACACTCCCTCTGGCACCGGTGGACTTGGGCAGCAACTGCAGCCTCGGAAGTGGCGCCCCGGCCCCTCCTGGCTCCGACGACGCCTTCGCCTCAAGCTTCAGCTTTATCCGGCTCTCTCTCGGCTCTGCTGGGGAACGTGGAGAAGCAGAAGGCTGCCCGCCCTCCAGAGAGGCAGAGTCCCCTCGTCCCAGCCCCCACCAGAGGAGAGCCAAAGCTGCCGGTTTGGACCGGCCCTGCAAGACCCCTCGACATCTTTCTTGGCCCTTCAGTCTCTCGGCTGCTCGGGGCTTGGCCAGCTCGGCCCAGGCCGCAGGGGGCAGCTCCAGGCCAGAGTGTGAGACTCTTTCTTTACTGGACAGGGACCCTGGCTCCTCCTGTCCTCGGGATCCCTCTTCGACCGGCCACGGGGGCGACGAGGGCCGCGGCCCGGGGGATGCCCACCCCTGGGACACCCTGCTCCGGAAGTGGGAGCCCTTGCTGCGGGACTGTCTGCTGAGCCACCAGAGGCAGCTGGAGGTCGGTGTCTCCTCCACCTCTGGGGCCCGAGGTGGTTAGGAGCTCAGGAGAGTGCCGGGCAGAGGGCAGGAGATGAGGGGTGTCGGGCTTGACCGCTTCCCTCTGGAAGCGGCAGTGGCTCCTGTGGCTGCCTGCACAAAGATGGGGCTATCTCTGTCTCCGAGTCTGGATGCAAATCTGGCCTCCTTCTCACCTCCTCTGCTGCTTAGGTGCTCAGATTTCTCTCCATGGGGCTGCAGGTTCCTCTGCAGTCCCTGGCCTAGGTGGGCCCTGGCTCGCCCAGCCTAGCTCTGCTTCGAGACAGGAGATGGGGGCAGGACAGATTGAGCTGGCTGAGGCTTGAAAGGGGCCGAGAGCTATAAATATGGAGCGAACTAGATCCTCACCTGCGTTTGTTTCCCTCAGCCCCTTCTGTCCTTCCGCCCTCTGTAGAGTCAGGCCAGAAAACTCCCTGGCTCTCAGTTTCTTTATTTAGAAATAGCAACCCCTCTTAGAATGGTCCTGAGGCCCCCACGAGAACACAGGTGCTTTGGAAACGAGGACAAGCCGGATACGTGTAGGCAGGAGCATTATGACATTGCTGTCCATCCAGTTATCTGAGCGGTGGGGACAGCTGGGAGCAGGCAGGGGTATTCTACTCCAGAACGTTCCCAGAGAAATCTGGGTAGAGATACTCTGTGGCTGAGCTACTGGATGGTGTAGCTCAGCCTCCTGAAAGATCTTGTCTTAATTCTGGGGTGTGTGTGTGTGTATGTGTTTGTGCATGTGTGTATGTGTGTGCGTTTATGTGTGGGTAGGGAAGAGGAGCACCCCCCATCTGGTGCTTGGTAGGAATATCTGCAAATGTGGGGTTTCTGTTCATTCCCCCCATGGTTGCATCTCACCTCCTTTGCCTGACGTCCCTCTCCTGTCCCTGTTTGTCCCACTCCAGCCCTCCGAGGCCTCAGCCCAGCTCTGATTTACCAGTCAAAGAGAGAGAGAGAGAGAGAGAGAGAGAGAGAGAGAGAGAGAGAGAGAGAGAGAGAACGAGAGCACAGAGGTGCAGGGCTCTACTCTGGGTGCCGTTTTCCAAACTGTGCCAGCGTCTTCCCCCCAGACCTGTCCCAGAGGGCCTCACATTTGGTAGATATTTGCTGACTTGGCTGGAACCCACAACCACCTTCCACACCTCCCTCCTCCTCCCCCCCACGTGTGGCTGGCCTCCAAGCCCTCTCAGTCCTATGGCCGACCCGCCTCTCCTGCCGACCCGCCTCTCCCGCCGCAGCCGCTGCCCTGGCTCACGCCCTTGCTGTCTTCCATCTGGGTCTTGTGGGTGCTGCCTTCCTCTGGTGTTTCTCTTCTCCACCGGGTCCTCTGCATGGCCGGCGGAGTTCTCTTTCCGAAGCACTTGGGGGAAGGTGCCATTCCTTGGCTTAAAGCCTTTGGTGACTTGGGTTCCTCTCAGGAGAGCCTCCAGCTTTCTCCTCCTGACCATCGAGGACTTTCCTAATCTGCCCCGCGCCCTCCCCAGCCCATGGCTCCTGCTGGCTTCAGCCAGGCGGCGCTGAATCGGGGAAGCCAGGCCTTGTGCTTGCGGTCTTCCCTTTCCCGATCGACCCTCCACACTTTGCACCTGCTGAGCTCCTACTCATCCCTTTGGGAGCGGCGCCCAAGCAGCTTCCTGCGAGACCTTTTCCGTCTCCTCTAGACGAAAGAAATCCCTCCTTCAGCTTCGTTCCCGTGGTGTGTTGCACCTGCCTCCATGATGGCGTTCACCACTTTTTAAATTTTTATTTTGGAGTTGTGAGCTACCTGCGAGGATCTACTGTATAAATAAGTTGTGTGCAGATGAGGTTTGGGCTTCTAGCGGGCCCTGTCTCCCCCCACAGTGAATCTGGCACCCAGCAGGTGGCTGTGTGGCCCTGGTCTTGCCTCCCTCCCTCCCCATTAGCGGTGCCCAGGTGTCAGTTCTTCTCACCTTTGTGCTCGTGTGCTCAGTGTTTAGTGAGAACATGTGGCACTCAGTTTTTTGTCCTGTGAGAGCTCACGTAGTGTGATGAACTCCAGCTGCATCCATGCTGCTGCAAAGGACACGGTTTTGCTCTTTATGGCTGTGTACTATTCCTTCGTGTATCTATACCACATTCTCTTTATCCTGTCTACTTTTGATGGGCATGTGGGTTGGTTCCATGCTTTTGCTATTGGGCTACTCACCATTTTTAATAATACGAGGGGGCCAAAAAAAGAGAAAACCCCAGAATTTGTTTATAAAAAACTGTATTTATTCTTACATATTTAAGCTTCAGTCACCTTCAAAGGACTGTCTGTTGGATGCAGTACCCCTATCGAGAGACTTTTTTCACTGTTCAAAACAGTTTTTGAGCACGTCGGTTTTGAGGCCTTTTGGTGCTTCTGCCGTTTTTTTGTTTCACCCTATCTGCCATGCTGGAGAAACGTTTCCCTTTGAGGACGTCTTCATCCATGGAAACAAAATAAGTTGCCTGGGGCAAGATGGGGTGATTTTGAGTTGGAGTCTCACTCTGTCGCCCAGACTGGAGTGCAGTGGCCGCTCCCGGCCACCGCAGCCTCGACCTGCTGGGCTCTGGCGATCCTTCCGCCTCAGCCTTCCAAGTAGCTGGAACTACAGGCGCGCGCTACCACCAGGCTAATTTTTTGGTTTATTGTAGAGATGAGGTCTCGCCAAGTTGCCCAGGTGGGTCTCGAACCCGCAGGCTCAGGCAATCCACTCACCTCGGGCTCCCACAGCGTGGGATTACAGGGTGAGCCACCGAGCCCGGCTGAACTTGTCGATGTTGATGGCTTTTCCGTGCTTCTGCTGTTGGGTGTTTCATCTCTTCCCCATCGCACAATGTTTTCCTTTGAGGACTTTTTTCATCTGGGGAAACAAAAAAAAGTTGCTAGGGGCGAGATCAGGTGAATAGGGAGGGCGAAGCACAGGGGTCATGCCATTTTTTGACCAAAAACTGCTGAACACTCGGCACGGTGTTGGGGTCAGCAGGTGCGTTGTCAGGGTAGAAGGACTAGGCACCTGTTTGTCACAACTCGGGATGTTTTGTCTGCAAATCATGATGCAACCTTCTCAAAACTTCCAGGTAAAAAACTTTGGTTGACTGCTTAATCTGAAAGAACAAATATCGAAAAGTACTACAGGGGGCCTGCCCTCCAAAAAGACTATTCTGGGATTTTTTTGGGGGATCACTCTTTGTAGTTTGTGGATCCAGCTTCCCCATGCAGCCATGAGTTCCACAACTGTGTCTCCTTCTCATAGACATGTTTGCGTGCCTGATTCCTAGCAAACATCTAGCCTACATCAGGTGCCTGCTCTTTTTTAGTGAAATAATTAATTTCGTTAGGCTGTACCACAGATTTCTTGGATTGAGTATCTGAGGCAGAGGAAGAAAATGTAAGAGGCAGGTATACAAAGAACAAAAGTGTTCCATGGAGGTCGACATCACTATACTTTTCCAATTTTAAATGTCTGTCTTCAACACTGCATTTCAGGCACCTTTTTTTTTCTAAAAAAAATCCCACAGCATATTTGTACTTCTCTATTGTAAAAATTCAAGTTTTGATTCCAGTGAGGCCAAAGTTAGAATGCTGTTATAAAGGCCAGCTTCCCTTCCTCCCAAAGAACCAAACGGAAACTTATCTGGCAGCAATTCTGCTACAGACCGCAGGATTTGGCCCTCTGGGTTCTGGTAGCACCAACAGTTTCTTCCTTCCTCTTGACTCCCTTTATCTAGATATAAACACATCCTCTCAAGAATCTAGAGCTTTGGATAAACCAGAATCTGTGAAACCCTGAGTGGATGTGGCTCTTGGGACTCAGCCGTGTCTTGGGCTCCAGCCATGCCCTGGGCTCACCATGCCAGCTTTCTGAACCACAAGGTCCCTGGAGGGCCTGGGAGCTGAAATTCCAGGGGCTGTGGTTGACTTACTTTTGGGAGTACATGAAGTTTAGTTTTAGAAGGAAACAAAGCCAATCCTCAAAAACATTCCATCCAGTGCTGAGTGGGGTGGTGCTCCTGTAATCCCAGCACTTTGGGAGACTGAGGTGGGAGGATTGTTTGAGTCCAGGAGTTCGAGACCAGCCTGAGCAACAAAGTGAGATACTGTCTCAAAAAAAAAAAAAAAAAAATATATATATATAAAGAATACATTTCTTCCTTTTTCCTTTATTGCCCAAACTCAGCTTTTAAAAGTAATTGGTCAGGCACAGTGGCTCACACCTGTAATCCCAGCACTTTGGGAGCTGAGGTGGGAGAATTGGTTGAGCCTAGGAGTTCGAGACTGGTCTGGGCCACATAGAGAGACCTCGTCGCTGCAAAAATAAAAACATAAGCCAGAGGTAGTGGCGCATGCCTGTAGTCTCAGCGACTTGGGAGTTGGAAGGAACACCTGAGCCAGGAGCTTGAGGCTGCGAAGAACTGTGATCATGTTACTGCACTCCAGCCTGGCGGCAGAGTGAGACCCCGACTTAGAAGCAGATCATTGTTTATGATCCATGAGAAAGTTATTCCTGGCGACGAACGGATGGCTGCCTGCCTGTGCCATGTCTGACCCACACTTCCTGTACTGCTGGAATTCTCGAGGGGCAGCCCTGTGGCCCATGGGCTTCTGCTGGGGCCTGTCCACTGTCCCGTGGGACTCTGTGGCAGAGGGTGAGTGGGACCACTGTGGTGTGTAGGCTGGCGTTTCCCTTCCCAGCTGTGTGACTGTCGGCAGTTTGCCTCACTGTTCTGTGTCTCTAGATACTCCTGTATAAAATGGAGATAACAGTCCCTACCTCATTAGATTGGGGATTAAATGTGTTTATACGTGCAAAGTGCTTCAGACAGCATCAGGCACCGAGCAGATACCCAGAACATTGCCCATCGTTATCATTAGAGAACTAACTCCGATGAAGAGAGTTTGAAGCGTCAAAAGAAAACTGAGTTCTCCCTCCTGCCCATAGCTCAAATCGAGCTTCTATTTTGTCTCAAATGATAGGATCTGGATAC